ACGTTGGCCCCAATGCAGAACCGTCGCAGCGCAATCTAGCATCTCAACCTGGGCCAGTTGTAGGGACGTGGTGGAGCAAAGATAAACCAGCATGACCACGACACACACCACGCCGTCAACGACTCAACCTCGGTCGTACCAGGCTTCCATGGATTGTTTGGGATTTGGGAGCAAGCGAGGTTTCATGTGTTGCGCAGAGGACGCCAATACTCGATCCGACATGAACTTAACAATTGACCAAGCTATGACCACGGTGCATCTGTCAGCGGAGCGCATGGCCGCCGTGATGGCGTTTCAGGACGGCGAGTGCAGTGGCATGTGGCCATTCCTTGGCCTGGCTGGACTGCGTGTGACGCTCACATCGAGGTGCTTCGTATACTTGACATGGCCCACGGGGCTTCGGCAGCTGGTCGACGACGCCAACCACGCCGACTTGGCGCATGGTGGGCGCCCCACACGGAAGAAAGCGTGTTGACCCGATTGCCTCGCATGATTTTGACACAAAGCCGCACACGCGGCGACTGGTTGTGCTGGAAGCCATGTAGTCCTTCCCAAACGTGATCGATGGACAGCCTCGTCATTGCGAGTGCTTTCCTTGACTTTGCAGCACTAAAACGCAACTTGAATGCGATGCAGTGGTTACATCATCTCGGCCATCTCGCATGCACCACCGATGCCAAGGACTCCACGGCTAGCCAGCGCGACTTAATATGGTTCGGTTTTGTCACAGACACCGCCGTTCGACCAAAAGCGGTCGCAACGCCCTGTTGCTCGACCATGTGGACATTGCACCTTCTCGCCCATGGCCTTATCGGCATATAAGCTATCGTTGGAGACCAGTTCCTGTTTCAGGAATGACACCTCGATTCGATGAAGTTCATCGACGCCCGGGCGATTTCAAGGTTGCTGTGGAATGTGGCTGCGTCCCATAGTCCCATGAACGCCCTTGAATGGGTGCGTGGCGCTGGGGGATGTTCTGCGCATGCCATGGGCTAGGCGGCCGCAATCGTGCACTTGAAAGTTGTCGATTGGAACCATCGATCTAGCCATGGAGGGTGTGCACGCACCATGCGCTGGAGCAAGCGGCAATGCACGGGCACATTGTGGAAGTCGTCATGTCCAAGTAAGCAAGTGTCATGAAGTCTCCAGGGCTTGCGACAGTTGAAACACTTTGCCTGGCCAAGATCGTTGAATCTATCTCTACCACGCAGCTACACGCAACGCCTGCCGCCATCTACTTCTTGGACCAGCTGCTTGTTTTGTTTCCTTGACCGCGCGATGTAGCCAAACATCAAGCCACTCGAACGCCAACTTTCTTGGCGTGGAAGCGTACAGAAACAACACGTCGAACTCCACCGCCGCATCCACCGATGCTTTGGAGATCATGGGGACTTTGCCTTTAGCTCGCGCATGGGCTCGAATACTGCGGCATGGAGCATAGCAGACTGCCTCGACAATGGCATCACGTTGGCCCCAATGCAGAACCGTCGCAGCGCATTCTAGCATCTCAACCTAGGCCAGTTATAGGGACGTGGTGGAGCAAATATAAACCAGCATGACCACGACACACACCACGCCGTCAACGAGTCGACCTCGGTCGTACCAGGCTTCCATGGATTGTTTGGGATTTGGGAGCAAGCGAGGTTTCATGT